GGGGGGGAGACGTGACAATGTGAACACCCTAATTACACCTAATGATCTATTCCCTTAAAGTGTGACCGCCTTGGGCCAGCCGCGGATTGTTCTGCGGGGTCGTTCTCACAACCTCCCCCTGCCTCGGCTGCTCCTCTTGGGGAAACATGCTTTGAGTCGGAGGCCCCACCTTTTGTGATCCGGGACCTCGCCGGACCCCCCACCCTCAACCCCTCTTCAGTTTCACTGGCCCAAAACCGAACCGAAACGCAACCCGGGGCGGGCTGTGCTACCTGCACCTGGCCAACAGAGGCTCCACGTGGCGGTACCAGCGAGCCGGGACGTGAGAGACGGACCTGATGCAGCTACAGGTTCTGCTTAGGGTTCCACAGCAGATCAGATGAGACAGGTTTCAAAATACCGCCACTGCCTAATAATTTACAAAACAACGTTCTAATTAGGGATGCATATCGGCGTCCACACTGGCATCGGCTGTTGTTAGTGTTTATATCGGTATGTATATCGGTATCGGTCCGATGGACTAATGTAGCCGATGACTGTCTAACATCAGCGCCTTCGTCTCTACGTCTGATATCGCTGCTATGTCACACATGTTTTTACTTAAATGGTTCTTTAACACTAAATATGTTTAAATATGTTTTACTTTTGTTGCATAATAAAGCGGACTATGTGGTCCAACTGGGCTTCTTCTGAACAGTTTTCTAACAGCGCTGACTTAGAATCATTTTTCGATGTGAACAAAATCTGAATATCGACATCGGTGATATCAGAAATCTTAACATCAAATATCGGCATCGGCCAGAAATGTGAATATCGTGCATCACTAGTTCTAATACATCAATCCATCCGACCAATAAGAGCGGTCCGACTGACACACTGAATGGTCCGACTACCCGTTAGCATCAGGTACCGCTGGTCTACACACAGATACGAGGACGCTGCTCTCAGCTACAGCGATATACTGATTGCTAATCTATCAATACGTCTTTGCTTTGAGTATCCAAAAGGATCAATACAAGGACAAAGTCTCAGCTTAGACCATGTTCTTAACTCATCTTCTCAGCTCCTCTGCTGCTCGCTCTCTTCCAAAAATCTGTGCAATAAATTGATTAGTTTGCATGAACTAATCTCGTCTCGTGCTTTAATATGCACGCAACGCACGTCATTAATTAATTAATCAAGAGAAAACAGTCAAAAGAAACTGCAGATCAAATCACACAACAGGAATGAATTCAGAGACGTGTTAATAATTCATTAAAACCATAAGACGCGATGGCTGAGTTTAATAATTAAAAGTGCTGCTGTTGATACCAGTGATTGTGAC